GTAGTAGCATGATTTCACATTCATAAAAGTTTTGATCGTTGCTTACAAAAAACTGATCCAAGTGATTTTTGACATTGTCATTTCAAGTAAATATCTTACAGTTAAAAAAAATTTGTATAGACCAGAACAAGTAATAATCTGAGTGTGCTCAATCTGACAAATATGGTTGGTGTAATAGCACACCCCATATAAGTTATAACAGTTTCTGACGAGTTACCAAACTTGTGTGAAATTTGACATTATCGTAGTAAAACACTACACCTGTTTTGTTCATCAATTCTGGCCACCTTTTCTGTTTGATGATATTACTCAATTTGTTTACTCAATGGCAGTACACTTTCGAATCAATTGTTAAATTGTCTGGTAAAAGCTCCAAAAAAAAAAATTTTCTTAAAATCCCAGCAAAGAGAGCACTTCTCTTTAAGAACATGTGGAACCCATATATCAAGCTTTGAAACGAAACCAATTTGTTTCAAGTAATCATAAACAGTTTAATTTGACAAATTTAATCTCTTAGTGATTTCACGTGTTGTTATTCGGCAGTTTGCTTCAATCAGTGCCTTTATTTTGTTTTCATTGGCTTCAACTGGCTATCCAGAATGTGGTGCATCTTCAATATTGAAATTGCCAGAATGAAATTTTGTAAACCAGTTTTGGCACTGTCGTTCTGTCAACACATCATCTCCATACATGTACCACAATTTTTTCCTTGCTTGAACAGCATTTTGATTTTTTGGTAATAAAAGAGCAAAATATGCCAAAAATGCTGCTTTCAAACTTCCATATTTGATGGGATACAAAAAATAAACAATTGCACAAAAGCACACAAAATTTTTTACAAATAAACCTTAAAATGCTAGCTGTCAAAATATATAATAATAATACAGTTTAGAATGAAAATGGCGGGAAAAATATGACTAATCCATCTAGTGGTAAAAAAACGAACTTACTTTCCGAACAACCTAATACAGGGGTCGGCAACCTGCGGCTCTTTGGATGTGAAGCTGCAGCTCTTTAGTTCCATACGCAAATATTATTTATTTTATCAAAAAAAACATTTAAAAATCGTTCTGAATCGATTAACGAGGATTAGGCACCGATTCCATCTCTCAGCCACTTGTACTCGCTTTTCACCGCACCCCTCCCCGTGACACGCCGTCGTCAGATGTTTCTATTATCTAATTTGTTGTGAAAAACACTACTTATATATGAATAAATAGATTAGTTTTTCTTTTATCAAAAAACTTTATTTATGCGAGTACTATTTATTGTTGGCAAGAAAAAATTTTGTGGCTCTTTAAAAACTTTGAAATTTTTGTAAATTGTAATTTTGGCTTTTCCGACTCAAAAGGTTGCCGACCCCTGACCTAATAGAATAAAAATGAAAAAGTAATTCAACAATATTTTTATGTATGTTAGTATATTTCTAATTTGTCATATTTTTATTAGAGGAGAGTGGAAGAAAATATAATTTTTAATTTATAAGATGGCGATCTTAATTAAATAAATCAATTATAGCTTAGTTATTTTAATTGATAGAAAAATATAAATTAAAACTATTAGTTGATTTGAAAAAATAAAGCTTCTAAATAAATTTTAAATGAAACAGTTTAGCTATCATTCAAGAATGACTTCTAAAGAGTGTAGGAAAATTCTTACTTTTAGAATTAAAATTTTAATTAATATTTTAAATTTAATTTAATTTAGTTAAATGAAATATTGATAGTTTGATTAAATAATTTCAATAAAAAATGCGATGATTTCATTTTATATTGATAGGAAGAGCATAATAAAAATATTACATATATAGATCATTTTTAATATTGAAAATAATAATAAAATAATTAATGGTTAATTTTTCTTTTTAGGAATTTGATCCTGAAGAATTTTACAGATTACTTGAAGCTGCAGAAGGACAAGCCAAAGTTTTGCAAGGGATAAATACTGACATTCCACAGTATATAATAAATAAATTAGGACTCAATCGTGATCCTTTAGATGGTAAGATTTTTTTTTTCTTCTTCACTTTATTATACATGAAATAAATGTGATCCTTAACTTAACTTTACATTTATTAATTCTAACTTATAATTTTTAAAGGAAAATATTTTAGAAATAAATATTATATTGATATATATTTTATTTTCTTTGAGATTTATGATAATTCATATTTCACAATATTTAAACAAAATATTTTATTAAAAGAACTGGAAGGAATTGTTTAAACATAAAATAAGAACATTCATCTTTTCATTTATGTTTTGATTTAATTTTAATCTGAAATGACAGAAGTTTACCTAATACATAACTTCATCATAATGAAAAAGTAATTTACAGTAGATCCCCCTATAAGACGGTAGATACGTTCCGTTCTTTATGAATCAATTTTGTAGAAATCATAGTTTACAGACTACGGCTGTTTGAAAGGTTTTCTTTCATAAAATTAATCGATTCTAGACTAATTCGACCGTATTTTTCGTTTGTGACCACTAACCGTGAAAACTACTGAACCAATCGTTACCAAATTATATAAGTTAGTTATATGTATAGTGATTTGCTGCGTACTTTATGATATGATATTATTTAAACTAAGCATTTCAATTTTTTTTAATATACATTTTTTCTTCTTTATATAATCTTTTAATGAAGTATAAAACAATTTAAAAATTTTTTTTATGATTTTATTTAATAGTGTCAAGAAAAATCACCTTCTGCAGCTCAATATTTGAAGAAGTTAATAAAGAAATTGTTAGTAATTATTTCCCGTCCTGCTCGTCTATTAGAATGTTTAGTAAGTACAGATATTTACATTTTTTTTCAGCTTTTTGATACTATATGTTATTAGGTATAATTTGATTTTATTTCAGCTAGCATTTCTTAAATTTATTCTGAAAATTATGTGAATGAAATGCAATAGATTAGATTTAAAAACTGAGAATTCTAACTAAATGAAAATGGTGTCATTTAATTAAAGTAATTTTTGTGGAAAAATAATTTGCTATCTAGCAAGTCATTTTCTTTTTATAATCTGCTTTCTTCTTAATATCTATTAAGAAGAAAGCAAATTATAAAAAGAAAATGACTTTCATGATTAACTATAACTTTTAGCTTCAGAAATTTGTGGTTTGAAATAATAGTTTTGTTGTATTTTGTTAATTATATTGTTTTTTATTTTTAAATTTTCATTAAATTGAAATTTTTTATTTCATTTTATTTCAAATTTAAAAAAATTGATTGTCATTATAAATTCAATTTATAAACTTTTTAATTACAAAATTTTAAAATAAATTTTATATTAAACTTAAAATATTTTTTGCAAAATATTTAAAATTTAGTTGTCATTTAAAATAAATTACATTCTACTATCATATTTTATATATTTTGAAATTACATTACATTTTTGCCATAAATGAAAATTACAGATTATATTATTTATTTTTTAATGTTGGTTAAAAAAAACTGCTGAAATAATTTTCAACATTACTTATTGCAGTAAAAAAGAAATAATTTTTTTTCTTAATCATTGTCTTTATTTATAAAAGTTTGATATGTATTTCTAAATGTAAAAGTTCAGTTGTATGTTTGACAAAGCATCAACTTTAGTTGAAATGATTTAAAGATGAAAAGAATTAGTATAAAGTTTAAAACATTTTAATCACATTTTTAAGGTCAATACAAAATATTTTAGATGAAATTTGATTAAGATGAAATAAAAATTTTAAGTTTTANGTTTATTATTATACTCCTATTAATGAAAAAATTGATGATAGATTATTTTTATGTTTTAATTATTATTAATTTGCTGAAATAATCTTATTACTGTAAACATTTGTTTTTGAATTTGACAAATACTAATTTTAACTTGATGAACAATAATCATTATAGATACAGTAGAGCGCCAATTATCCAAATCAATTGGGGACTGGGGTTGTTCGGAAAATCGATATTTCGGATAACCGATTATGCACAAAAAAATATATTAACCTATCCATTTGAAATTTTTCTCCATTGCGTGTCACTTTGCATTGAATTTTCGTTGATGTTAAGCCTAACGTAAACTTTTTAAAATAATAATCATGACTATTGCATCGTTAAAAATTATTTCTTTATTTTGTACAAACAAAATAAATATATTGAAAAATATAAAAACAATAAAAAATTATATTTCAGAAGTTAATTTAGTATCAAAAACGTAAAATATTTGAGTAGCCCAAGATTGCAGTGCCACCACACTGGTGAAAATTAAAATTTGCCGACTGGAATTCTTTCGGATAATTGACTTTCAGATAATCGATGCTCTACTGTACTTTGATAAATTTTATTTTCCTATTTCATGAAGTCTAAATTGTTTATCTAAATTTTGGTATATTTATAATTTACTACAAGATCAGTATTTTAAGATATTAATATTTAATTTCAGTTAAGTAATTTAATATTCCTTTTTTATTTTATGTAATCATAATTCTATTAAAATTTAGTAAAATACTAGCATTTAATATCATTGAAGTGCCTAAATTTTATAACTTATCAAATATTTTTAAACTAGTAATTACCATCATTAAGACTGTACATTCATGTAAAGAATAAATAATATTTCTATAACATTATTATAAAAGTCAATTAAAATGTCATTTACACTATTTAAAACATTTAATATCAAAGGTTAAAAATGATATTCCTGAAATACTTCACATTTAAATTTTTAAATAACTTTTTAAAAAAACAGTCTGAATTTAGAAATCATTATTATTCCATATCATGATAGCAATAGTTTATTTTTATTTTAAAATTTTATATGTTTTATTATTTAGAGAAAACAAATAATTCTCAATTTTATCATAAATAAAATGTTTTATATTTGAAATTATAATCTGTTCTTAAAATAAAAAATTTTTCAGAATTGGGTGTGGAAGTAATTGGAGAACTAGATTTTCCAACTTTATTAGAAAATGAAGTAAGATTTTATTTAATTTGTTCAGATTAAATCTTTAATTATTTTTAAATTTAATAAAAATTAAATCATAAAATAATCTTTCATTACCTACCTATTGAATATTTAAGAAATAGCATATATTTAAAATTATTAAGTAGATATTCAGTAGATATATGATATCTGTCAGCTTTACTGAATTTAATTTTATTAATATGCAAAATAATTTATTACAAGACATTTGATTGTTAATGTATATGTGCATAAACTTTAATTTGCTGATTCATAATAGAAACTACAAGTTAAGTATTATATAGAAATTTTAAAATTTAAAGATTTGTTGGAAAAATTAGGATTAAAATATATGTACTGGTAGTTTAAAACATCTAAAATTTTTATATTTTGAGACACTATGAAGTGTTGATACTAGACACTGACTTTTTCACATCCACTTTATTTTCTGATGTTCTTTACAATGTATAAACCAATTGTTCCAAATGTCACTACATATTTTGGGCTAGCATCCCTCATCTGTTGGCTGATATGTTTTTCTACAATGGTTGTAAATGTATTGTTGATGTACATAAAATCAAACATCACTGTGTATTGTAAGCCAGTTAAAAATTCTTAAAACTTGAATAAAAAATACGAAAAGAACCTTGGTGCAATTTCCATTTTAAAAATTACCTGCAAAGTTCATTAATGTAAAATATCAACACTTCATGGTGTTTCAAAATATAATTTAAAGGACATAGTTTCAACACAGAGAAGTTAAAATTTTTACATTCATCAAATATTTAAAATTCGTTTGTTATTTGTCAGATAAAAGAAAATTCTTGTCTGTTATTTTTGAAATGTTAATATTGCCAGGTGATCAAAAGTAAAATATTCATAAATATCTTTATTTTGGATTGTGATTTTCATCACTCTTAATAGCTTTCTCTAAATGATAGTTTGTAAATGCTATTCTCAAAAAACTTTTGATTTTTAAAAATAGGAAATTTGTTAAACTTGTTTTTTTCCATTATCTCTTTAATTCCAAAATTTTTGAATTCCAATATGTTTTCCAGTTATAATTAAATGATGTCTGGGAAATGAGTGCTGTACTTTTTCAAGGTTATACTTATAGTAAACACACACTAATATCAGTAATTGATACAATTTATTTTCTTAATTAATTTTCATTCTTTTTTGAAAATTGCACTTTGATGATAACCCAATGCTTTTGCATTATTTTTTGAGTGCATACTAAAAGATACATGCACTGTAATGGGTTAAATATTTAAATATAAATTTTGTATAACTATGTAAAAGCTGTTCAAGTTTTTAGTCATTTTAAAATATTTTAATGTGTTTATTTAATATTATTGGTGATAAGTAAAAAATAATAAATTATTATATTGCAGACTATCAAAAGACCAATATCAAAAATCAAACAACCTAGTGAAAATGATTTTGAAACAATCAAATTAATAAGTAATGGTGCATATGGGTAAGTATTTAGTAATAAAATTTTTCTCTTATTATATTATTATTTATTTTTAACAAAATATTTTTCAGTGCTGTACATTTAGTAAGACATAAAGAAAGTCGACAGAGATTTGCCATGAAAAAAATAAGTAAACAGAATCTTGCGTTAAGAAATCAAGTAGAACAAGCTTATGCAGAACGTGATATTATGAGTTTTACAGATAATCCATTTGTTGTGAGCATGTTCTGCAGTTTTGAAACAAAGGCAAGTTTTTAAAATTTGATAAAATAATTGTTAATCTAAATACTGTAGTTTAATTTTTATAAAATTTCTATCAAACTTATTATATTTTAAAATAATACGAGGGTGGTTCAACTTTTGTTTGGAATTTTGGCAATGGAACTATGTGCTACATAGACCAAATTTATATTACTTCCTCTTTCAAACTGACACTTTTATGTAGTTTTGGCAATGATGCTATATCTGCAGAATGGAAATCTTTTGGCTGGCTCAGAACCACTACATGATGAACTCTCTGAATTCAGTGTTTTGAGTAAATTTTCTGTCTCCAAGACTTTCTTCAAAGGACCAAACAAGTGATAATTGTATAGTGACAGATATAGAATTTCTCAACTATGCTCTGACATTGCCTGCAAAGGAGAATCTTTTAGCCAATGCATTGCTGCTAAAACAATGAAAGAATTGTAGGGGGAAATACCTGAAGAAAGAAATATAAATGTTACACACACAATTCCATTGCTATGGAGCACCATTCCATATAAAAAAAAACAAGTTTTCATTCTGTTAAAATAATTATTTTTATGCATTATGAAGATGTTATATAATTGAAATTCTTGAGCAGACTAGCATTGTTACAAAAACTTGGAAAATAAACAAACAAACTAATTTTTGCTATATATGATGTTTAATGTATATAATCTGCTCAAGACTTAACTTAGGTAACAATAACAATCTCTCTTAAAAATTTTCCTATTTTTAATTCAATTTTTATGTAGAAATATTTAATATACTTTTAAATTGAATTTTTAAATTTCTTTTAAATAGAAACATTTATGTATGGTCATGGAATATGTAGAAGGTGGAGATTGTGCTACATTATTGAAAAATATGGGTCCTCTACCATTAGATCTTGCTAGATTTTATTTTGCAGAAACTGTGTTAGCAGTTGAATATTTACATAGCTATGGAATAGTTCATCGTGATTTGAAACCTGATAAGTAAGTTTTAACTTATATTTTATTGATCTTTATGATAACAATATATTTATTTATTTATTAAAAATTAATTTACATTCATTCTTTTACTAGTGTCATCATGTAATTGATTTTAATCATTAATCAAATATATCATGTAATTATTGAATTATTTCCTTTACAAATTAAAATAAATCTAAACACTAAATAAACAATACAAAAAATTGCTTTTATTAAATTTTTAATTCATTTAAATAGTATTACTACTACTTTTTACTTAAACTAACTGATTATTTTCTCTAATTTTGAATGCACAATAATAATTTAAACTGTAAAATATTTTATTGTCAATTTCATTAAACTGTATATAAAAATATAACTATCATTTCAATTACTAGTCCAAATGTATGTGAAGTTATGTTTTATAAGATATTCAACAAGTTAAATTTCAGAAATAAATTTTCAGGTTTTTAACAATTAAAGAGACAACCAGAGTAACATGAAAATTATCTTAAATTTTTATGAAATTATTTCTGTATAAAAATGCTTCATAATTTTCTGGTGTGGTAACAAAAGTCTCTTCCTGGTCAGTTATTTCAAAAACTAATAGAGCAATCACTGTAGATCTTTGGCTGATATATACTATATGTTGGACCTGTACTGAACAATGGTGGAAACTTTCTTTACAACAGCCTTTCAATTGCAGAGGGCTGTTGTAATCTCATCCACTGATGAAAGTAAGGCAACATTGTCAATTACAAAACTGTAGCACATGAAAAAATATATACTATTATCTTTTAGTACATTCCAAACTATCAAGTCGAATCCTGGAGCAGGCTGTATAGCATACAAGGGATAGTAATGCATCACTGCAACAGGAATATAACGTGGGAGTGATTGAATGTACAGTTTGTTGCCTTATTAGTTTTTGTTATAATTGGCTAGGGAGAGACTTTTGTTACCAGTCATGTATGTATGTATATAGTAGAATATCTTCATTTTATCTTAATGATATATTAAAATAGAAAAGTTAAAAATCTTGTTAAATGTATCAAATTATTATTAATAATGAAAACAAAATAAACAGTAATTGATTTATCATCAAAGCATTTTAAATTTTATATAATAAAATTATATTTATGCTTACGTATATATTAGATCTTGTAAAATATTAATAATTTATTTTAGTTTGCTGATTACTTCTATGGGACATATCAAATTAACTGATTTTGGACTTTCAAAAGTTGGATTAATGAATTGTGAGTATAAGAGTAATTATTTTTAGGTCATAAATTAATTTTGTTTAATATTCACTAAAATTACATACCTTCTTATAGTGGCAACTAATCTCTATGAGGGTTATCTTGATAGAGAAACTAAACAGTTCAATGACAAGCAAGTATATGGCACTCCAGAATATATTGCTCCAGAAGTTATACTTCGTCAGGGCTATGGTACAATAAATATTATTATTATTTTTAAACTTAGTTAATACTTTTAAGGTGTTGCCTTAGTAATATAGCAAATTTTATGTTATTCAAGATATTTTTCTAATTTCTTAACTCTACTTTGTCAGAGTATTATTTTAATTAAAAATTGCTGAAAGTTTACAGATTATAATTGGAATTTAATTAGCTGAATCATAATTCTGTAATTTTCAGCAAAATTTGGTAATTAGACTTGTTATAAACATTATATTTATAAATGTATATACCACATGATAAAAATAACTGCATGAGTCTAATTTTATGTTACAACTGAGATATTTAAACCTGAAATTGTACTGATTTTTTTCAAAATGATTAATTAAATTTTTTTAACTATACAATACTATAACATACTATATTTTTATATAATGGAAATCAACTTTTTCAACTTTATTATTTTGATAAAAATTAGTATCCTTAACAATAAAACATAGAGATTATAATACAGTTTTTGTGCATGAAGAAATATCAATACATCTACATGATTCATTAAATTTTCTATAAAAATATTTTAAAAATATAAGTAAATTTAGTTAATAAACATTAGCATTAGTTTTAATATAAACAAATAGTTTACTTAAAGAACATTAATTTTGAAAAATACATAACATTAAATTTAAGATAATTTCATAAAATTTTAAGAACATTAAATAATAATGATATGTTTCTGTATTATTGTAATATGTATGTTCCAAATATAACATTCTTTATATTAATGCTTAATTTTTCCCACCTTCTCTTTCTTTTTAAACAGGGAAACCTGTTGATTGGTGGTCCATGGGAATCATCTTATATGAATTTCTTATTGGATGTGTTCCTTTTTTTGGAGAAACTCCTGAAGAATTGTTTGCTCATGTTATAAATGGTGACTATAATTCACTTATGTACTTATCATGCTGACTTTAATTCTTTATAGACAAATAATTGACATGAAATAAACTATTTTATATACTATAATTTATATAAGAAAACAGCATGAGCTATTTTTGTAATAATACAAATAATATAATTGAAAATTTGAATGTTTGTATTTCATTTATTTTGACATATTTAGTTTATGTTTTGTTTTATGGAATTTGGCTTAATTCGTCTGTAATAAAAAAAATTATTAATATCTTAAATTTAAAAAATCCTTATCAATTATTATATAAAATGTTTAATATTTAGATGAAATAGAATGGCCAGATGAAGATGATTGGCAAATGACAGATGATGCAAAAGACCTTATTACTCAATTACTACATCAAAATCCAATTGAGAGATTAGGTACAGGTGGATCACATGAAGTAAAAGAACATGCTTTCTTTTCTGAACTAGATTGGAATTCTTTATTAAGGCAAAAGGCTGAATTTGTCCCTCAGCTAGAACATGAAGAAGATACAAGTTATTTTGACAGTTAGTACACCTCAATATATTTTTCAGTTTTATATTTTATAAATGTTTTATCTTATGTAATAAAGTATGTGTGTGTTTTAAAGTTTTTGATCATAAAGCAATAATCATCTTGAATCATTTTGATGTTTCAAATTAATAAAAATTAATACAAGATTTTAGTAAGAATGGAAAAAATTTAAGCAATTTTCCAACTTGAATTAATAAATAACATATGTTAACAGACTAATAAGTTTTGATATTGTAGAACAGTTTTGTACATATAGATATATTAATTAGCCATTATTTGTTTTTTCTTAACACAGAATTAAAAATGCCAGAAATTTGAATTGTAGTTTAAATGTTAATAATTTATAATTATTATTTATTATGTGTTAACGATTTTATAATACTTTAAATGACGAACATAAGAATTTTAATTGAATGACAATAACTGTAAGGAGTAGGTAATGCCACGCGAAAAGAAATATCTGTGTTATATTTNAAATTGCACTTTGATGATAACCCAATGCTTTTGCATTATTTTTTAAAATTTATTATTATTTGTGTATGTTGCCTGTCAACTTTGATTTTATAAATATTATATGTATGCAGTCTATTTATAATGCAAAATTGTCTGTGAATATAGCTCGAGCTGACAGATATAATCATGAAATTGAAGATTCAGAAGAATTAGAAGATGGTGATGAAAATGTATTCAGTAGTTTCTCATCCTGTTCGCCTCGGTATAGAAAAGTATATTCAAGAGTAGAAAAAGAATTAGAAGAGGAACAGTTGTTAAAAGTAATATATTTTTTTACTATAAAATTTCAACTAGAATTAATTAAACTGTATACACAATCTAATAAACAAATTTTGTTGAGATTCCAAAATAACAATATTGGAGATTTCAAAATTTGGCATTTACAATATTTGAAAGATAACTACAGATTATAACAAAAACAAAATTAAGATTATTATAATAAAAATTTGAATTCAATTTATAAATCAAGATTTTATGCAAAATTATCAAAAATTAGATTATAAATAGGAATAATCAGTTTCATCTAAATTTGAAAAAATTCTTTTGATAAGTACATTTACATACAATTTATGAAATCAAACTTTTTTATTTCTTTCATATACTTTTACTTTTGTTTGTTATTCAAATTTTTTAAATATTAGAGCAATCTTTATTTCTTACAAAATTATACAACTTTTAACTCTAGTCTAACTTGTTTAATTCTTTCAAAAGGTGATTATATCATATCATTTTAAAAATATTTTATTTTTTTAATACATATATAATAAATGCAAAATTACTTTTAATATTAATATTAATATGCAAGAAGGGTTTGCAATTTTCTTTGCTAAATACAGTAATACCTCAACTTACACAAACCCGGAGTTATGTGATTTTCAAATCTCATCGATTCGTCTTTTGTTTGAGTGCCACACAACTCTTGATGACTCCCTCCCCCCACACTATTGTTCAGCTTACATGTTTGGACGTGTTGCGCATAATCGACACATAGCTACAATTTATTTTTGTGTTTGTAATATCTAGGGAGACTTGAAAGACTCTATGTGGTGATTTCTTGTAACCGTGAACGAATCAAAAGATGAGATAAGATTAACAAGAACATTTATTAGCTTACATACATCCATCTTGGATTTTACACAAAATGTGAAATTATACCTCGACTTACGCGGTTATCGCTCTGTCCCACCTATCACGTAAGTTTGGGGTATTACTGTATTGCACAAATACATTTTAATTTAAAATCATTTCAGTAGAAAATCAGTCTGGTTTTAATTTTTTTTGACATATTTGACAAATCATTCAAACAAAATATTAGTTTTTATGAGTATATCTCTGATATATTCATATAAACTATTATTTTGTTATCAAGCATTGGTTGAAAGTATAGTATATCCGAGATATACTGTACTTTTAACCAATGCTTGAAAACAAAAAAAAAGAGTTTCTTTAAATAATATAATTAAAATTTTTGACTATAAAAGAATAAGCAAAACTTAATAATTTAATATACTAATAGTTTATGATTGTCATTTTATTTTTTTAGTTTAAATATAGTCTATTTATCTTCTTATTAATGTTTGACTATTAAAGAATAACAAATTGACTGAATAAACATTTTTCAGTAACCTTGAAAGAGTTTATTCATTTTCTAAAAATTTAAAAAATATTTTAGGTTTTATCTGGATCAATTGTATATTCTGTCTGTTGATATTTGTTATTGTCATCATTTTTAAATTTATGAGGGAAAAAGGATACATGTGTAATAAAATAATAAACTATGTTGTTATTAATTAATTGAGGAGTTTTGCAATTACTTTTTAAATTAAAAATATTCTACTGCCAAATTAAATTGGGAAGTACTGGTCTAAACTATTGTTGATTTTTCTCATAAAATTTTTAATGTCAAAATATTTAAATGAACTTTATTTTTCAATTAAATTGCCTCAATGTCCTTTTTTTCTTACTAAAATGTAAATTTTCGACTATAAATTCGTATCTTCTATTATCAGGACTTATTCCGTATACCTGGTATATGGAATAAAATAAAATTTGTTTTCTGTTAAACTTTGTAGCATTACCTGTAAAGCCAGTATAATAAGTCCTGATAATAGAAGATACGAATTTATAGTCAAAAATTTACATTTTAGTAACTTTATTTTTCATTAACTGTTCATTATTAGACTGTACATTCATGAAAAACTTATTGCTGCTCATTACTTTTTGTTTTTGTACATGATGATAAAATTTCTTTTTATTAACTTGTGAGTTAAGTAAATCTGCATAAAATTGAAGCAAATTAAATCTTTTTCTCATAATTATTATAATTATTAATTTAGATAAGAGATGGTGCCTAAAGTGTACCAAATTACTTAATTTCTAATTATAATAGCAAAATATTAGCCCAATTAAGTATAGTGATCATTTGGTTTTGTATTAATGTATCAGACTTAGGGATGTTTATTATATATATTAATTAAATATGCTGTATAAAATGGCAGTGAAGTTAAACAATATATTTTACTACTACTAAATTATGAATGAAATTAATTACTGAGAAATAATAGTGTAATATTTTATATTTTGCTTATTTTTTAATTGTAGAGTATAAAATAAAATTCTGTTGTTCAAAATTTCTAAGTATAAAAATGAATTAGCTCAAACACCAACTGTTTGGTTTGTTGAAAAATATTCTAAATTCAATTAATTAGGCTATTTGTTTGTCTATAAGTATATTGGACATTGGTTTGTCACAGTATATGAATTGAATATTTTAAAATGGAAAATAATTTAATATTTATGATAAAAACTATTAATTACCAGCAACAAGGCAAAGATGAAAATCAACGCAGAGTGATGACAAGAGCAGATTCTTATCATTCTGATCATTCAGACAGTCCATTATCTCGAATGGGAAGCTTATCAGAAACACCTGAAAATGGTCATGTTAAAGATGCCTCTAGTTCACCTGATATGTAAGTTTGTAAAATGTTTTTTTTATCATTAATAAATTTTAAAAATATTCTGTAAAATTGTTTGTTTTAATAATGTTACTTGTAATGATTTATAGGAATTCTAGACAAACACTTCATAGTACTCCTGAATCTTCACAAACAGAATCAGATGAGGTTTCACCCCAGATTCAAAGAAGATGGCATCCAAATGTTAAAGATATTGTGCCAAGGTTTTCAATAAGCTTAGATGAGGATAAACAAACATTGATTAATTCCTCATTAGAATTTAAAGAACTTTCTCCTGTTGATGAGAGTGATATTAAACAAAGTAAATCTTCGAGGCGATGGCATCCTGAAATGGTTTCACCTGTGGCTACTTCAGCAAGAATTTCTATTCCTCCAGCATCACCAGGATCAAAGATATCCAGATCAGTTATTAAATCTGCATCAGCATCAGGCTTATCTCTGATCATTCCAACAGGTTTGTAATTTTTTATAGATTAGTTTAGAATACAATTTACATTGTCAATTTTTCATTATAACAAATCTGGTACATTTATAAATGTAATGACATTATTAATATTACAAATTTGATTATCCAAATTGTAATTTTTCTGAAAAAGGATAGTTAATGATATACCAACTTGTAGTCAAAATCTTTCAAATGCTAAATGAAATTTTCAAATAAGAAGAAATTAATTATATAAATTTTAAAAAGAATTATTTAGTTATAAAAATTCAAAGATAGATTTAAAAAAGTATCAATTTATTGTGTAGAAGTATGGCTTTTGATTGATTTGAATTCATGTGAATATGATATTAAAAATTTACTATTTTCTGCTTATTATCAGTTTCAAAATACTGGTTTCATTAGATTCATAATAAACTAGGTATTTCTATTTTATTAATAGATAGCAGTTATTTTAGCCTTATAATTGATTGTGATACCTAAATTTAATAGCTAAAACAAAGTTGCTAACTTTTAATCCAATTATTTATTATAGTTATTTAGTATTAACTAGTCTTACTCAGTGTACTGTCATAAGATGGTATACCAAATAATGATTATTGTTTAAATAATTCCTATTCAACTTAATCTAGAGCCTGTGTGCCATATAGTAAGCATACTTTGCTTTAAAGATATTTATGCATGCCAAAGTTTTTGACTTTGAATAATGTTATTTAAAGAAATTAAAGGAATATGCTTTAATTAGAATAAATATAAAAAAAGCTAATTGAAAAAGATAGATGATAAATCAAAATCATATGGTATGTTATATACTGCACCAGATGCTTTCTCCTTATGAGCCACTTTAGGCATGCATGTCATAGGTTGACCACCCATAGTTTAGAGAGAGATTTACCATTTCAAATGCAACCAAATCTGTTATGATGATATTTCACAGCATGCAGAAGATATGTCTGGCACTTTTGGTGCTGCAAGAAACATAATGGTAGTTTAAAATTGAGAAAAATATTAGATATTAAATGATTTCAATATTTAGAAATAAATAATTATATTTTAATTTAACGTCTGATCCATTCTAACACTGCTAATAAAGAATACACAAACTGAGTTTGTTTGAATTTGAAGGGGGAGAATTATCACTGAAAGTATGTAATCAAATAAATTGCATACCCCTTGAAGAAGGTCTGCTAGTTATTTTTTTTTAATTTCAATTAATACATAAAGCAATTGAAATTAGGGATGTCCCAACACTACTGATACTATATTGATATTTTCCTTCAATACTAAGTATTTTTGTATTCGATATTTTTGGTCTGGTACCAATACTGGTATCTATACTTTTCCTCCAGTATTGGATTTGGTATTGTTACATTTTTCATAGACAGGTAAGGGACAGCCAAATCAGAAATCAAAACAGAATTTTACACTATCTTCGGTTAAGATAAACTTATATAAAAATATTAATGACCAAAAATCAATAAATGCATTATGTCAAATTTTATACTCAAAATCTGTATATGCTTAGTTCTGATTACTATTTATAAGTTAAATAAATATTTATTTAACAAACAAAAGTGCTGCGTAATATTTAATCAACTCAGACTATCAGTGATGTTTAAAATAGCTACAATTTGTATATACTTGTTTGCACTGACATTTGTAAAATTCAAACACAAGAAATAACTTTTAATGTAAAGACACTGTTTTACATTACCTCTTCATCATCGATTTCTTATCCACCTTATTCCACAGATAGTAGTACCCACAGGGCCCATTATCAGGACTGTAGATCTGGGAATTCTTTTGTATTCGTAAGACATCATACAAGAGTAAACTGAAGTACTGACTTCTGAACCAGATTAGGGATTCAATTCCCTGGAGTAATATAATTGCTAGTATATTAATTAAAATATTAATTTCTGCTCTGAAGCCCACTCAGCCTTCATTGATTACAGTACACCTATCCCTCTTTTTATGCGATTTTGAAATAACACAATCAGCAAAAGAAAACTAATCCTCTTTTTTGCACGAATTGATCCTTTAACAAGGGGGAAAAGTTTATTTGAAAATTTTTAAATTTAACTTTTTGTTAAAATTGTGTTACTTTTTTGTTGAAATCAAGAGTTAATTTTTAACTCTTGATAATGTTATAGTATTGTACATCAGAGAATGGTGTATGTACTGTATGTTGATTTTATGTACAAATAATATTTATTCTAACATCATTTATCATTAACAAGCTTCTTGTGTTTCTTTTATAAATTGCTTATTTTTTTGTTCAATTGAAGTTATAGATCCTATCGATCATTTTTCTAAAGGATGCATGTACTATATTTTTTATGCAATTTTTTTTACATGGCAGTTTTTTGGAACATAGCCATCGGGCAAAAAGAGGGATAGGTGTACCTTCTTGGCAGTAAAAACAACTGGAAGGCAACACGACAGACTGAACATCAACAGCTGGCAAGATTTCTGGTTTCAATACCCGATGCTGATACTGGCTGGTATCGATAATTTAAGACCAATACTGATATCGATACTTTAAAACTACTTGTGATACCAGTATTGATATTTTTATGGTATCAGGACATCCCTAATTGAAATAAGATTTTTTACTAAATCTAAGATAAAAATCTTAATCATAACAGTAAATATTGCATTTGATAATGAAATGTATCTAAATATAATTTATATATATTATAAATTATAAAATTAAATAATTTTTTAATTTTAGAAGATTTAATACCTCAGCCAATTGGTTCACCTGGAGGTTCTAGCACTAGTTCCAGAGATACATCTCCAAGTCGAGAATTAAGTCCACTAATTGCTCAATTGAAACCACCTATCATTATCAGGCGAGGAGCTAGAGGATTTGGCTTTACTGTCAGAGGTATTCGTGTTTATTATGGAGATTCTGATGTATATACTGTCCATCATTTAGTCATGGTAAGAACCTATTTAAATTTCATATATCAGAAACAAAGTTACTAATTAATTACATTAAAGTTTAAGAATATTTAAATGTATATACACTAATAAATAGAAACTTAGAAAAATTATTAGAATAATGTTTTGTTAAGGATGTCTTCACACTATATATATCTTAATATATATGGTGTGGAGACATTGTTTATTATAAATGATATAATTAGTACAATAAGATCTTCTTTTATGTGGGATTGATATATGCAGATATATGTTTTTAGATTAGGTTAACTTTTGGATGCACAGACAATTTTTACTGTAAATATGTACACTGATTTCTTTTACTTTTTTTATTACGAAATTCATTGTAAAACAAGCAATTTTCTACAGTTTATCTTTGGGAAAAGTATCAAAGCTGAAACAAAAATAAGTTCTAATGTAGACATAAAGCAGGAAAAAAAGGCATATGAATGTGTGTGTACAGTATGCAAATTGTAAAACTGACACTAAAACCACAATGAGAAGGTAGTGTCAAACAAATCTTAACTTTTTTGTTTGTAAAATTTTACATGAAATTTTGTTGTGTGGTACCTGCTGACATGCAATCCCTGTGTAAAACAAGACCATGATGAAAAATTTTCTTTAATTGTCTTAATAAGGAAATCATTTTAAACAAAAAAAGAACTTTTTTGAATTGTCATTATTATTGAAACAGAATTTATATTCATTCTCTATTAGAATTGTAATCAAATTAAAATCTTTTTATATCTGTTTTGAAGTTTTTACTTCTGAAATATTTTATAGAGCCTAAATTTATTCTAAGAGAATCATTATATTTTTTTATGTAAAAAAATTATCAATGGCTTAACTCTTTATCTAAATTATAATTAATATTTTAATGAGAAATTTATTTCCAAAATATAATTACAGTATTAACAATTTAGTTTAACTTGTTTCTCTTTAAATGTGTATTAGAATAGTAAATGAATTCTATATTCAAATAAAAAGTATTTTATTAAATCTACTCTTATAGTAGTTAGTATTTTTAGTTTATTTGATCCAATAATAATTTATAAAATTTTAATGAAATTTAAAAGCAACTTATTTATTTTTAGGCTGTTGAAACCAAAAGTCCAGCATTTGAAGCTGGATTAAGGCCTGGTGATTTAATTACTCACATCAATGGAGAACCAGTCCAGGGCTTAATGCATCCACAGGTTCTTCATCTAATACTTACTAGTGGTGATCGAATCAATATTCGAACAACTCCTCTTGAAAGTACAACTATTAAAACTGGTGGTAGACGACGTAATCCATCCTCCATTAAAATGGCAAGAAGATCAATACCTTGCCGTCGTCGACCTGGACAAGGTAAAAGGGAATCACAGTCAGATAAGAAACGGCGTGCTTCTCTTTTAAGACGACTTAGTAATAAGCGTGCTAGTGTAGAAATTCAGCAAATGGTGTCTGGTTCTCCACCTGTGTTGACACCAAGTAGAAGCTTTCAGTCATTAAATCGAAATTTAGTCACAACTATGGATGTTCCTGGATCACCAACTAGAACAAAGAGCCCACGTTCTCCTCCAACAAACCGTATGTGTTCTCCATCAGATTCTCCTCATTCAACAGGAAATTCTTCACAGAGTAGTTCACCAAGTTCAAGTGTACCTAATTCTCCAGCCAATTCTACTCATTTACCTCACTTTCCACGTCCAAGTTCTTTGCATGGTTTGAAACATAAGCTTACACAGACATTTCACTCTCCTAGACGCAAGTCAGTTGGTCATATCCCACTTTCTCCACTTGCTAGAACTCCATCACCTTCTCCAGTAGCTTCAACATCGCCAACCAGATCACCATCTCCACTTGCTTTTCCACTTGGACATCATCATGCTGCTACTCAAATTCCTATTCATAAGCCATCACCTGCCTCGCCTTTAACATCAGCCCTTTGTACTGCCAAGAAATCATTTATGAGACCAAAAAGTGCTGAACCTGGATCTCCATTGTTGAGACGAGCATTGTCTCCAGACAGACTGCACCCAAAATCTGCCGAAGGTAAGGTAAAGAGAGAATCATTTTCTGGCCAAGCATCGCCATTAGCTTTATCTTCATCACCATCAACACGTTCCTGTTCATTATCATCGTCTCCTCCAACTATTGCTTCTTCTAAAGCATCTACATTTACTGTGACTGTGTCTCAAAGTGGAGTGAGCAAAACAAGACCACAATCACCACGAACTAAATCCTCCAGTTTTTCTACTTCAGATCATCCTTGTAAGTCTTCCACATCATCAACAGATGATAGCAAATCACCACCATTATCAACTAAATCATTAAGTTATAAAAGTTCAGAAAAGTCATCTATGGACACTGATAATAGTTCAGAGAATTCAGATAGAGAAACATATAAAGCCAAAGATAAAAAACCCGAAACAAAAGCAGACTCATCAACACGGACAGGAAAGAAAAATTTAAAATCTCCAAATCAAAATTTGGTAGAAAAATTCTCTCCAGAAAAGTCTGTTATTGAAACTAAAGAATTAATATCTGAAAAAGATTCTTCACCAGTTCAAACTCAAGAAGAAAATAGTAAGTTAACTTCAGACACTTCAAAATTAGAAGCCACATCAAAACTCGATAAGAAAGAAGTATCAAATGGTTCACCAAATGTTCAAAATAACAGTAACGCAGTTACAAAAACTAAAGACGATGTAAATAAAGTACTGGTGTCTCCAACAAAAGGTGGTGAAGCAAGTAATGATAAGTCAAAATTATCTTGTTTAAATTCTGATACAAAAAGTCAGAAAACAAACAAATAATTTTAGTGTAAGTTGCCAATTCGATCAACAAACAAAAAAAGTCAAAATAGCCATTTTCAGTCAATTAGCAAAGTACTTATAAATAGTATTACTCATTCAAAATTAATATAAAATCAAATAAAAGCAAAAAAAATTTTTTGGAGTTTTAAATATAACGAGAGAGAGAGAAATTTAAATTTTATTTAATAGACATTTGATCTATAAAACATGCCAAAGTAATTACTTACATTGTGCAATCTATTATGTGAAGATAAATATTCAATAATTATTTTAAAGTATGTTCATATTGTTGTTGTGCAAATATATATTATATATATAAAAGTGGAGAAACGTGGAAATGAATAAGACACATTCAAAGTGAATATTATGTAAATATGTATTTATTTTAATGACTGATTTTGCATTGCCGTGTATTGTATGCATGAGTGTGTGTGTATGCATATTTCTAGAAATTTTTGCCAAATTATTGTATATGCTTTCAGGTCTACTATTAAGTATTGCCATTTGAGAAACTTCTTTTTTAAAAAAAATCTTTACATTTTTAATCTTTATTAGGGTCTTTGAATTAGGCACTCGATATTCTGGATATCAGTATTAATGCCAAAGATTAAAAAGTGGATTAAATTTTATTTTAAAAAAGGAAAAAAAATGACAGCTGAAGTTCAATCTTAAGCGATTGAAGCTATCCAAAAGTAAAGGAAAGAAAACTGTAAATAGATATTTATTGATCATTTCTTATAATATTTCCAGTCTTGTATCAATATTGTAAAGTTATTGCATTGTAATGTTAGTGAGCTTAAGAAGTTGACGTAACGTATTAACATATTAAAACGTCTTTAACTTGCAAAATTACCTTATTTTGTTACCCATTTCTGGACTGATGATAAAATCAATCCAGACCATTGACGTTATTAGACATATCGAAATGATTATCTTGATATTTGTTTAAATTGTTATATTTTAGCATATTATGCTGTAGAATTCTATATATTTTTTACTACTAAACTAAAAGTAAGTGTATTGATTCCTTTGCACCCATCTCATAATTTTTTATGAGATTTTTTTCATATCTTATTTCATGTCTTTCACATTAACAGAGTGAGTTTCTTAGTAGTTGCTCAATATTCCATATTGCATGTCATAAACGAAACTAGTGTTATATAAAAAAAAAACTTGAGTACTTATTGTGTGTATGTGTGTTTGTGAGTATATGTAGTGTGATAAGGTTGTATTAAGAGTTGTGCACTATATTTCTTATCATGTACATTTGTACATAAAACATGCACCAGGACTAATTGTGCATTTATAGCAGAATTGTAAATTTGTTAAATTTTGTGGTTATTATATGTCATATTCAGTATTGTCATATCATTTGAAAATGAAGCCTACTAAACAATAGCAATGCATTAAGTATGATTTTCCTTTGAAAAGCTGAAAAATCAATTCATTTTAAAACTATTTTGTTAAGTAAATTTTCAAGTGTATGCATTAGAAATTTTTTGGTAAGGTTTGATCGATAGCATTTTCAATTGATTCATGACAGAAAATCAGAAAGTACTGCTAGATAGATAAGGAAATTAATTTAGTTTATCTGTTGTTATTTTCTTGATCCACTTAAATCAATTACTAATTGAATAATGATTTTCTTTATAAAATTTAATATTTTTTTTAGTTAACTTATAAATGACTAGTCATACATTCCTGTGAAAATATATCCTCAAAATTAAATTTATATTTTAAAAATCTCATCACAATCTTGCCACTATTAATAGAAATTTAGAAATAATGTTAACTATAAATAATGTGCTAAAATTTTTAATTGAAGGATCTTTTATTCTGAATTATTTTATCTATACTATATAAGATACAAAACTTTAAAAGTATTGACAAACTTTTTAAAAATCAATTTTTAAATTTGAAAAAAAAAAATTGAAAACTCTTTTGATAATTATGATGAATGTAAAGTATTTAATTAATTTGAGTAGTTAATCCACAGTAATGTAATTTTTATTTTTTCTCGATCAAAATGTAAATATTTTTAATTAAGAAAACAAGCATACAAACTTTTTTGTATTATTACATAGAAATCTTACTCCTATTTTATTTGTCTAAGGTGCTAAACAGCTAAAAGTGCCTACGAATATATTTAAAAATACGAAAAATATATATCATTAGCAGCCATGCTGCATTAAAGTTTCCAATTTCATTGCCATCAAAAATAAAAAAAAATAAATAAAAAAAAAAGAGAGAAATTATCCACGATAATTAAGTGATATTTATTTTTTATTTGTATAACAGGATGATTTGGTACTGAATATGGAAATTAGTTTTCCACTGCCAATTTATTCTTTGATCACAGATCAGATTGAATTAAATCCATATACCTCAAAATGACTCTTATCATTTTGATATGTATTGTTAACAAAAAACTTAAAAGCATATTCGTATATGTCTGTAAAAAAACATAAATAAAAAAACTGAGAATGGTGTTTTGTGAGATATTGCTACAGGGTAAAGTTGTTATGTTTGAAAACTTGTCATAGTCCATTTAGAGGATGTATAGAAATATGGCCATGCAGATGTATAAGAGTATGTCAATAGCTTTATTCTTTATCATTGGTATCTGTATACATGATTTGCTGTCGTTCTTGTACAGTCTTTTTCATGAATGTTTAAAGCAGTTGAGGCCTTGTTATTGCTCATTGGTGATAAAAATAAAATGTGTAGAAGTGAAGTCATGTTGTCCCATTTTATAAATTTTCAGACTAACTTGCTATTGATTGGATTATATATTATTATACAAAGCGAGGAAAATAATTTTTCTTTAATTATTATATAAATTTTTGTTAATTCAGATGAATTATTGTAACAAATATATAAGGATAAGTATTAGAAAAATTAAACTCGTTAATTAGAAATTAACGAGTTTAACTTACCTATTTGAACCTAAACAACAAACGACAAAGTTCTCTTCATCAAATTGTAACGTTATTAAAAATTCAATTTTCATCTTATATGGGCCGAATTTTGCACATTGCTTAACGATACCCTTCTACGTAATGATGATGTCTAAGCGAGAATATCTCGATTATTCCATATTCTTCCATTCTCCAAATTTTCCGGACATTTGTTCGTCCACCTATGTCTTAATTTAAAAAAATAAAATATAAATAAATAAGCGCTTTCGAAGTCGCGAGAACCATTCCCAACACTTAAATCAACAGAATTGATTATGGTAAATCTGATGGTATTAGTATTCAATCTCATCATTGGCAACGAATATATATGAAGGTAACATAAAATACTTTAAGACGGGGTCCCAAACTTTTTGACTGTCGATTCCTTCAAGGATTTCTCGATCTTTTATTGACCCTTTTTTCTTTTTGCTAATACAGTTAATAATTAAATCTACTGAGTCAGTATTAATCCATACACCGTTTTCATTGAAAGGATCTACTTAGTGTGCAAATTTATATCCTGAACTGTCATCCACACAGCCCATTACACTAATAATTTTAATGAATCGTTTTCAATCGACTCTAGAAAATGCCATAAAGACCATTTTAGGGAGTCCTGTTTTAAAAGGTTGTTAATTTAATCGTAGTGTGAAATCATCTCCACCACTTGTTTAATGCATAATAATATCAAGACAGCTTCAGATGGATTATTGTAACAAATTGGATTATACATCTGAGAATAAGTATTAAAACCACTGAATACTGGTTATTGGTCAAGTGTTCGCCCCTCATTTAACAGGTTGATTACGTGAGTTTTCCGAGTTTTCTTCACGAGGCTACACCTAAATAGAGGCTAGCTTCCATACTACAGCCCCCTTGGCATATTCCTCATATATTGTGTTGAATTGCATTTTTTATGCCATTATTTTTCAACCATTTTCTAATTGTGGCATCCCAACTTGGTAATTTTTTTTCTTACGGGACCTCATTTTTTAATGTAGTTACTGCGCTTTACATGTAAGAAGTATTATGGTGCTGCTCAGCACTATATTTCGTGGCACTCCATATTGAGGGATTTTTCCAGGCTCTTATGGTTCGGCCAGGTTTGCAAAGGAGTGGAAGGGTGGTGAGCCGTGGCCATCGTTATCTCAAGGCCAGTACACTCCATTTATGACGTCACAAATGCCAATATTAAAAAAAATCTCCATATCAACGCCGGAAGAAAGAAGAAGAATATTAAAAAAACCAACGAAAATTTATCAGACTTTTCTCTAGTGGAACTTTATTATTCGTGTTTTATTGCAGAACTCAAAAATAAAGCCAGCTTTACAAGCTGGCTTTATTTTTGAGTTGCTCTGTACTGCAGTACAGAGCAACTCAAACAGAGCAGCAATACTTTTTGCGAAAGGTACAGTACTGTATTGTAGGTACGACGACTTAATTGAAATAAATATTTGTCGTCATAATTTTTAAAACACTATAATAAGGAAAATTTGACAACTTAAGTTATTGTTATCGATTATCATCAAACAATTGGTCAACAAGTTTCTACATATGTCACTTCATGTGTCTGATGATGATGATCGACATTGTTATTAGTTATTATTATTTTAGTTTTTCTACGAATTTTCTTTTTAAGTTTATACATTTGCATTTGTTTTTGAAATTTAGCTTTGAAGCACAACTTTTGAATTTTTCTTTCATTTTTACATTCTTGGCTGTTATAACAGAGGGAAAATATGACGATCCCAGATTTTTGCATATTTGGACTTAGGACATCTTGAAACGTGGAGAAGTGCAAAAAAAAAAAAAAAAAAAAAATTCAGAGGTAATTTCTGTATGTATGAATGTTTGTGTGGGGCACGATTTTGTTCACCCACTTCAAAGCTTAATAACTCCTGTGCTTTTTGTCGAAAATTTCTGAAATTTTGTAGGGAGGTTTATTTATTAGGGGATTGATGCTATTAAATTTTGATGGTCAAAGATTAGGTTTTTTTTTATGCTCTTTCTGCCCTGTGGGCACTAAGGGGCCTCTTAAAGCAGGCCCATTACGGGTTCGGCCAAGCCCAGAATGGGGCGACCGGGTGGTGAGGGACGGGGCCCGACATATCCAAGCGGACCACCCCCGAAAAATTCCTGGGGATTCTTTGACACGTCCGGATTCGATCCCGGGTCCCCAGAGCGGTAGGCTGCTACCTTGACCGCTCGGCCATCCGGCCGTCTAAAGATTGGGGGTAAGGAGATGATGGTGGTCGTGTGTATCTTCAGTAGGATCGGACTTAATGACAATTTTACTCGTTATTAGCATTTACAATTTATTTCATAAAACTCATCCAAACCCTCAAAATTAAGTTTTTTGCCGTTTTATAATATTTAAAAATATAAAAATTTTTAAAATAAAATATGATAACAGATGGCGCCNATTGTATCGTTAAAAATTATTTCCTTATTTTGTACAAACAAAATAAATATATTGAAAAATATAAAAACCAAAAACATATATACTTTAGAAGTTGATCTAGTATCAAAAACGTTCGAGTCAGCACGACACACAGTCCCCAGAAAAACACCAGACAAAAGTGCCTGTGCTGCCAGCTAAAACACACACATCAACAAAAAAAAATATTGGAGTAGCCCAAGATATAGCCAAAGATTGCAGCGCCACAGCACTAGCGAAAATTTAAATTTGCCGACTGGAATTCTTTCGGATCACCGACGTTTCGGATAACCGACTTTCGGATAAACGACGCTCTACTGTATTTCATTTCCATAATATAAAAACACGTATTAAATAAATATAAAAATCTTACCTATTGAAACTATCTTTAATAACTTCCGGCTCAACTTTCTCATCACATTATACAAGATTATTCTCGCATCCATCGCAAGGAAAGCAAACATCGTTTTCAAAAACCTGTTGCGAATTATAATCGTCGTTGAAACAATCCTCAGTAAGATCGAGAACAATTTCCAAATAATTTGTTTCTTGGTAACTTTCCAACTCCCAACTAAAGAAATCATCTCGATCATCATGATCTGTTGGGAATTTCATGCTGACAAGTGAGATCGGGAGGATCAAATTGCTTCTCAGACAACACCAACTCTAAATCTCTATCCACATCTGCATGCATATGAGCATCTTCCACAAAATGTCGAAATCTAAAAAAAAACTCGTGAATTATTTGGGCCTTAGCAAGCGAAGGGGATAACAAGCGAATTTTTTTTTCACAGATTTATGTTAATTATTATTTACTTTGACTATCGTAATAAAATACATTCTACTCCAAATCAATTTAAAGTATGGAAATTTATCTTAAAATTAATTTCTTATCCTAGTTCTTTGCTGTTAGTTCAGTTTAAAAACCTTAATTAAGAACCTAACGACAAGTTTCTAGATCGGTAATTCCATTTTTATAAAAACATTTGTATATTTTGTAGTTTGTCAAAATATTACTCACATTTATATCCAAAACAGTATTTCTCAAGAAACGAAGCAAAGAATCTCGAAAAAACTCCTTTCTCATTTGAAAATCGCACACTCAACAAAGAAAGTAACAATTAAAAAAATCTATTGTTGCCCACATTCTTGCGTTTCCGCGTGACGTGGAGCTGACATAGTAGAAATACTCGGGATTTTTAAAATATCCGATGCATATTTATTTACAGTATTTCTGTTTCAACCTTCCTTATTACAAATGAGCACTGTACATTAATTGCTGGGCATTATAGAAAAGTAACATTTATAAACTGTAAATATATTATTATTAATGCATAAGCATACATTTTATATTCATAAATAAGTTGTTCTTTTTTCTTCGTTCTTTTGCATTAGTTTAAAAAAATGTTGAATTAAAATTTACGTACAATTTGGAACAAAAATTTTAATCTAAACTAATTTTATAGCATTTTGCTAAGTTGCTTTCTGGCAACCAGGCAACCTGGCGGAAGCAAACAGCGCTATATTGGAATTTGCAGACTTATTTTGTCAAAATAACTTTAGATTATTACAGAGGAATGGTAAAAATGATGATGATAATGAAATATTTTCAGTAGCTGCTACTGTTGCTATGATAATGCCTAAAAGAACTCTCTA